TGTCATGTTTTGTTAATTCTGGGTCAAGCTGGTCTTTCCCATCTATTCTCTCTAACTTAGGGTACACATGGAAAAGTCCTCCCTGCTTTTCTTCACATGATGATTGGCTATAAAACAATCCAACATTCAAATTCTTAACAAGTATTACTGAGCACTTCCTGTGCATCACACTGTTCTACACTCTGGTAAAACAAAAGTTCCTGTGGCCATGAAGTTGCCATTCAAATGTGGACAGGATGAAACCACGCCCACATCCATGTCATGTTCTGGTAACTGCTCTGCAGAGGAATAAAACACAATAAAAGAACAAACCAAGAATCAGCAAAACATTTTTTTTTTTCTGTCAAGTGTCGTATTCTAGGGTTTGTGGATTGCACGATCTGTCTCAACCACTTGATTCTGCCACTGATGTGTGAGAGCAGCCAAGAACCAAGCCCACGAGTAGGACAGTATTCTGGTAAATGCTCCTGACCCAGGCCACCGTTTGGTCCTGATTTGACTCCAGGCCCTCCTTTACAACTCTCGGTACAGACGTTGATGGCAGGAGCACACTGTTCATCTAAGGTGGTCAAAACAAGGGATACTTGAGTCATAAAAGAAGATAGAACACCCAATGCCACAAAACAAAACAAACAAAGAACAAAAAAAAAAAAGAGAGAGAAAAGAAAAAGAAGAAGAGATCCTTTTTATCTACACTGGAAAAGAGAAGTCTATGCAGAGATAGAGGAAACCGGGGCTGAGGGGGCATGAAACCAGCAGGGGTGTGGCAGGGGAGCTCAGCAAGCAAGATAGGAAGGACAGCAAGTTTTGTCCATTGCCAATCTTAGGGGTCTCCTTTCTCTTGTGCAGTGGTCATGGTCTCCCACAATGGTACCCTTGATTAGTATGATGAACATTTGCTGTTTTTCTTCACCTGGCATCCATCCCCTCTCCTGGAAACAGCATCCCCATTTTTCTTTGGACAACCACCCCTGTCTTGCTGGCAGCCATTATCTGAGGAGGCTCAACCAGTGAGAAACTGACCCAGCCTCGCTGACCATCACACACCTTCCTCCTGGTCACAATGGCTCATTGAGGGATTGACACATGGCCCAAGTCAGGCTAGGAAGTGCAAAACCCAGGAATTTGCTGGGTGTATTGATAGTTTAGGGAAGATGCCCTCTTTCTGCCTGTCAGTAGATGTAAAGACAGAATGCAAGACTAGAAAACAAAACTGAGAGACGATTAGAGAAACAGACTGAACTGGGGTGTATTATTTCAGCCACCCCACCCAAATTAGCCTGAAGTCACTGCACTTTTCCGTCACTTGAGGCAATACTTCTCTCACCTTTGGCTCTGAGTTGCATTTATTTCATTTACAGCCAAGTGAGTCCCAACTGCTACTCCATTCATGCAACAGGCACTTTCCCTCGAGGTCCTCCGGTCCTGCCCACTGCACACTCAATAAGAGCACATTCATTTAAAGTACCAGCCAGCACCACTGGATTTTTGTCATCTGTAGAACCATGTGACTTGTCTTCGGCTTGGGCTCTTGGACATCTGCATATGCATCTCATCTCTGATTTGACAGAGAACAGGGAACAGGACATGGCATTCACCCCTGTATCTCCAAAGTGCCAGAAGCAATGATTAGAAGATATAAGTGTACCCATACAAAACACACATACACACCATATCAGTAAATGGACTCAACTTAAAAACACCCCCTTCTTTCAACCTAATAATTATTACTGCCTGGTTGCAGTAAAGAGTTTCATCAAAAACTCATTCAAAAAGCTAAATGTATCATCTGCTGTCCTAGAAAAAAATGCGCCACATTTAAATTTCTATAAATCTTATGCTAATTTAAATGGGTTTAGATTTAATTAAAAATGTTTTTCAATTGATAATAATGTAACCCAGATAATTAACATCAAGTGGCATCTAGAGGACATATTTAAGAACTAATCTAGAGTATAAATAGATCTAATTAACAATTAAAATAACACTTTATAATTATGCTTTGTTTATAAATGCTATAATGTCCAATTCATTGTTCAGTGAAATTGGTCATTAATGAAAAGCAGAATGAGGTTTTCCTCGGTGTCTCCAGGAAGACGCCTCTCAGAGGCGCTGGCTCTCAGGGAGCCTCTGCCCTCGCTGCTTTGGAAAAGCCATTCCTGTCTAATATTTAATCGTGTTGTTCATGATTAGAGCTAAACTCTTACCATGTCTCATCTTGCACACTGATTTTATACCTTTCTGGTGATTAAATGGATGGGTCTGACTACAAACCTCAATTTTCTTGTTTCAGATCTGAATGAACACGTGTAATGTGGGAAACACAAGGATGACAAAGACTTGCATGCCTGTGTAGAAAGTGAAGCCCAGAGCTGGCATGGAAACAAGACTCTGAGAAGGGGGGGCCCTGAGATCCTCAGGAAAGGAGCTGTGGAGAGGCAGGGAGCTGGGAGGGGGCGTGTGTGCTCCTGCAGGTGCACACATGACATACTGGAGCGCCCTCTATGCACAAGGGGCCATGAAAGACAGCTCCAGGTCACCTGAAAAGAGCACATGCTGGCACTGGATCTATGTGTGGGCTGAAGAGAAAGTCAGGTGTGAGCCTTGAGAGTGTCTACATGCATCCCCAGGTATAGACTTCACATCACTTGGAGGAAGACAGGAGGGTTAGAGATGGGAACAGAGCAGCATTAGTGGTGTGGGAGCCCCATGGGAAGAGCCAAGAATCTGGAAGTCAAAGGGAGAGAGACCTCGACAGCTCTGCCCAGCTCTCCCTCCATCTCATGGTGAAGCTGGCTCACTGTGGAGCATGGGCAGGTAAGACACGTCCAGGTGGAGCAGCCCTGACAGCCTGATCCTAAACTGACTGATTTTTCCCGTGATTACAGTCCTAGTCACTCATTCTCACTTCTACTCTTTGTTTCACACCTGTGGAAATGACAGCTTTGGGAGACAGATAGACCTGAGACCCTACATGCTTGAGCAAGAATGCAGACCCTGGTACACACGCCTCTACTAGGCAACAGGCACCCAGACTCATCTCTCTGGAGCCTGTGCCATATCACAACCCCAACAGACAAAGTCCTCATTAAGCTGAAAATGAAATTGCCTAAGCCTCTCATTCCACACCATATGGCTGAATCCCAGCTGACAGGAAGCTCATTTCTGCACCACACCAGGCTCATTTCACTGAGAAGGTGGCTGGGAGACGTGTGTGGTGGGGTGGTCATTTCTTAATCTTTTTGGGATTGGTAGCAGCAGTGGTATTTATTATGATGCTTCCCTTCTTCGGTCTTACATAAAAAAGTAAATGTTTCTAAGGATGGCGGGAGACAGATTTCGTCCTAAATTCTCTAGGGGAAATAATCACAAACTTCAGCGACAATGATGACAAAAATATTCACATGCCTATAAGTGCCAAAGTGCAGTGATTGTCCAGCCCTTAGTTTATGAGTTGGGGAGAGTTCTTCAATGATGCAGCAGAGGTTTTTGTCCAGCAAGACTAAGGCAAAGGTTTTGCGCATCTAAAATGATCCTGCATCGGATCCTCCATGGTGGTGCATGGCACTGCTAACGTGCAGTGCCATGAAGCTGTCCGCAGCCACTGCAGCACGAGTTCAGAGTTCAATCTGGTCAGGGAGGTGACCCACATGGCACAGCAGACCATTTCAGTCCATCCGACTGTTTTGCTCCCCACTGTCTCTGGTGAATCCTCTCACCACACCACACCCCCCCACCTCTGGCCTGCACCCCAATTCTTGGACACATGAATAAATAAATCTTAAAAAAAGAATACGTTAAAAAAAGGAAAGAAGACAGTAGTAATGAGAAGAAAGAAGATCCCAAATAAAGCTAATAATGCAGAGAACAAAGAGTAGCTTCAGGTAAATAATTATTACAATAATAAGATAGTAACAGCTAACAGTGAATGCTTGCTATTTTAAATCCAATTCATTAATTAATGTATTTAATCCAATTTATTTAATCCCCTGTGACAGACTGCACCGTTTTATCTTTCCAACAAACTTTGAAGGTAGACATTTCTATTACCCCCATTTTACAGAGGAACAATTATCAACACAGAGAGGTTAGATAACTCACTCAAGGCCATACAGCTAGGAAAGGACAGGGAGGGGATTAAAATCATAGAGGACTAGTTCTTAACTCTTTGCCACTATAGTCAATGACTGAGGGTGAGAGAGGACGAAATGCTGTGTTCTCACTAGCTAACAGCAGTAGTGGCAGCAGCAAGCTTAATGGCGACTGCCTGCAGCTCCTGGGTAGGACTTTGTGGTAGCTACTGGGACATGCACATATACCATTGTCTCCTTTAACCCTTGGGACAACCTGAGATGTCAGATGCTCTTAGTCTCACTGCACAGAAAGGGAAAGTGGCTGAGCCATGGCCCCTCATCCGTCCACATCCCACAGATGAAGAGCAGGCGTGAGATTGGTTCCTGCACCAGGACACTGAGGCCACCAAGTTAGACCATTTCCTTGTAAATCCCAGAGGACACAGTTGGATGTGCAAATTCAGTGACTCTATAGTGGAACCTGGACATTCAGGCAAGTGTGTCTGCAAAGTTGTGCTCAGACCCACCCACCAGCGCTGCTAACACAGTAGGTCATGGCTGAAGACATGGGCTCACACTTTTCAGCAGTTCCTGAGGTTCTTAATTCACACCTTTCAGACCTGCATCATGTCCACAGGTTTGACAGCTTCTAGCAACACTGCAGGTCTGTGAGGACAAGATGCATTCTAGTATATTCAAGGCATGATCGTATATTCCCATATGAAGTTCAGTGTTGGCAGGTATGCCTTGAAGAGTTTATGACCTGAGAAAAGTTCTCCAGGAGACCAGGCTTTGGGGTGAGGGTTCAAATATGTAGCTCTAAGAGAATCCAGGTAATTGAAGAAAATCACTCTTCGAGACACCATTTCACTTTCCCTCTGAAATATACACCATCGCATCAAACCAAGAAAGTGAAAGTTTCCTTACCTAAAACTCTTAATCTCTCGGCTCCTACTACGACTTCATTGTTATCTGCAGAGAAGAGCAGTTTTCCAGAAACAGTTTTTACCTCAAACTTTTTGCCATAAGCTTCGACAGCTTTTGGACCTAGAGAGGGAGAGAAAAGGGATGTCCATGAGCCCCAGTGCATTTAATTACAAAGAGCATTTTTGTAGATATGAGCATACACATTGGGCTTTAACATAAGCGGGTTGGCTCAGAAATGAACTATGAACATCAGCTTCATGACATTAGCCACAGCTTGTCAATTATGTTTAATCATAGACTCTTGGGCTATAATTTTAAAGGCCATCATGTCCTTCTTCCAAACTAATGCTTGAATGAGATTCCCTGCAGCTAACCAGCAAATTACTGTCAAACGCTTGTAGATGTTAGCTGCAAAGTAGGAAGGTATAGGAGACTCCATTATCTTAGACCGGATGTCACTGTCAGAATGGGCATCTTTAAATTCTTCTGAAATCACTCACCACCCTGGCCCTACTGGTTGAACTGATGTCAGACAAATCTTAGTATAGATAATTTTCTAGAAGAGAAGGCTATATCTACTGCAATTAATTACTGTGGGAGCTACCGACTCTTTTATATTAGAATTTCATGTAATTAAAAAATTATATTTTGAAGTGTTTATCATATGACAATAGGTATTACTCTTGACAGTAAGATGTGATGCTCTACTTGGTGCCCTGAACCCATAGCATTTATCTGTGGTGGGGACAGATATAAATGGGAAAAAATTATTAATAAGTAAACGAGAAGATCATAAAGAGCTCTAGGTGCTATGGGAAAAGTAACAGTGATGATGGTATTAGTATTCTTATAAAAAACAAATAAGGAGACAGTTCAGGCTAGCTGAATACCTGAAGGTCGGGTGGCTTTCTATAACTGGGCTGCAGAAGCTTATCAGAACCACTGGGAGTGTCGCCTAAGTCCTTACTGGACTTAGCTCTGGCCAACAGGAGCTTATCTTTTAATCTAGAAACCCATACAAAAAATTTTGAGTGGAGAATCCAGAATCTGGTCTTTCAAAATTGTTCCAAAGATTTCTACATGGCATTTCACATTTCTTCATTATTTTTGAAAACACTGACACTCAATTAATAATAATGATGAAAGGGCCCTCTACATCTCTGGCAAAGACCACTGGGAACAGAGGTAGCTCAGAGCACAGGGTCTACTGCTCACCAACGTGATGGGTACACACCCCCCAGGGAACCCTGGGGCAGCAAGGGGAGAAAAAAGGACCCGTGAGAGGATTCGGTTGGGTTATTTGGGGCAGGGATTAAGAAAGTGAGCCTCTGCTCTGGAGTAGATGCTGTCAGCAAATGGAAACAATTTTATGATGGGCATCTTAATAAATCTTACCCAGAAGCAGGGAAGGCCAGAACTATGATAAAACTATAATGGGTATTAGATCATCACCCATGGCAGCCAGGATAGAGGGGAACTTGACTATGTTGGGTGGTACAGATACTATCCGTGTATTTGTCTATCCTTTTTGTTTTGTTTTGATCCTTCATGGCTACCAAGTGGCCTTCCTGGTGTTGTTGTCTGTGAGATGATTTAGGCTCATACAGGACTCAAGTCTGGCAGAAAAGGCCAGGCCAGCCCATGGATGCTCAGCTGTCCTCTTCATCAAGACCTTCAATCAGACAAAGAATCTCAAGACCGAATCAGGTCCTAGCTTTCTCATTTTCTGGTATTGTGATTCTGGGTGAATTCTATGCTCTTTCTGCACTTCACTTTCAGCATCTGTACCCCTGTACCACCAAAAGGCAGTGTGTTTGTAGGGGCTATACAGAAACGCTTCCATTTGTGTTCCAAGTGGAAGGGCTACTGGTCCATGAATGTGAGCTGTCTTTTGCTGCTAGTAGCTGGTGTTCTTTAATTCACTAATGATTTGTGGTTTTCATTGTATAGGTCTTGTATTTCTTAAGCCACTCTTGTTGCCAAATAGTTTATTGTCTGCATGTTTGTGAATGTACTTTCTTGCTTTCATTGTCAGATATTTCATCGCTAGTCTATAGACATAGAATCGACCTTTTTGTATTGATCTTGCATCCTGCAACCTAGCTGACTACACTTATTAGTTCTAGTAGTTCATCTGAACAGTCTCTCTAATTTCCCATACACTTGCTCATGTCACTTGCAAGTGAAGAGAGTTTGACTTCTTCTACTCCATCCAGTCTATTTACCTCATAGAAAGGTTAAAAGGATCAAATTACCCTGTATGTGTATAAAGAGCTTTGTAGGCAGACAAGGGTTGTAAAACCTGGGGACTTGCTGGCAGGAGGGCCATCAACACTGGGGTCCATGGCCGCCATCATTTTCCTAATGCAGCCTCACAGCCACCTGGTGCCCTGGCTGATTCACATAATCATGCCCATTTGTCAGACCTGATCTGGTGCCAGGATACTGGCCCTCTGACCTAAAGAAGCCCCCGGAGAGGCTCCTTAAAAGTGGAGATTGAGGGCCCTCCCTGGTGGCTCAGCGGGTTAGGATGCAGCACTGCAAGCTGTCCACAGCCGCTTCAGTGTGAGTTTGACCCCAACCCCAGGAGGTGATCCTCATGGCGTGGCAGACCTCTCCTGACCTACCCGCTGCTCCCCTCAGCAGTTTACTTTGTCAATCTGTTCTGCTCCCCACTCTGTCTCTGGTGGAGCCTCTCACCATCTCCTGCACCTCTGGCTTGTACCCCAGTTCTGTATGAATAAATAAATCTTTTTTTAAAAAAAGGTGGAGACTGAAATAGCAGACACAGCACAGAACTCTCCAATGGTGGGAGACCTAGACAATATCACTGTGACCATCATCAAGGTGAGAGCAAATGACCACAAAGACAAGGGATCTCAAGGTCAACAGGTAAGATGAATGAATAATGCATGACCACATGATGGGCACAGGACAGGCACAGAATGCCACCCCTGCACCCAGATCTGTGGGTAGATGGGCGACCAAATGTCTGGAATTTGCCTGCATGGACCTGGGCCGTTGCAAGATATGACCACTATGGAGTGGAGAACATCAGTTGTGTGTTAACAGAGATGATCGTGGACCTACAAGTGTGCTGTGAGCCAGAAAAGAGACTGCAGAGGTTGTAGCAGTCAGAGAACAGGACACAATCAAGTTTTCTTGTGTTTCAGGACTTCTCGGCATACACAATGGGATTGACCAAGGACCTACCCAGGTGTGGGTAGAGCGCTCAGTAATGGAACTATTAGTCAAACCCCATGGGGCAGATGCTGGCTTAGTGGTGTGGATGTCTTGTTCCTTTGTTGATTTTACCTGGGGCTGCAAACCTCCCAGGACTTGGTTGAAACCTTTTAAAAAATGACTCTAGAATGAAATGCAAAAGGGCACTGGTTAGGAAGTCCCTCCCCAGCCCACTGTTCCTTTCTGGGATGGACCAAAATCATTTTTTGTAACCTGAAACTAATCTCCAGTTAACTCCCTCTAGGCATGGTAGTCTATGGGAGAAGTACCACCTTAATTGATGCTTTACTCAAGAACAGAACTGGGACCCATTAAGCTGTAGTTGCAGTCACCCAGTTAAAGCCACAGCCATGAATATGGCTGCCACAAGGCCTAGAGGCTGCCACACCTTACTTCTGCCTCTGACTGCTCTCATGTTGGGACCCTTCCCTAAACTGGCAAGAATGCTGAGAAGACTCCCCTAAATGTCCTCCTTATGGATCAGAGGAATCTCTGTCTGGACATCTTACTGAGATGGCAGCAATCAGTTACTTTATGGGTCCAGTGTTCTTCTGTGCCCTGGGCTGGGAACCTACCTATCATTTAAGGTATTGTGTCAGGTGAAAAGATTGCCTTGTCAAGATTGGCCCTTATTCTGGGCTCCTGAATCACAGGCAGGCAGGAGAACTGTGGAATCCTAGGGTGGTTTATACACTTGGTACAGGGTGGGGGAGGGGGGCTTTAGGAGGAGCACATCATCCTGCCTAACAGTCTCCAGAAACCCATCCTGGCTCTGTGATCCCCATGCAGGTGTAAGTGTGAAAGGAACCCTGAAGGGCAGGTGTGTGTGTGTCTGTGCTCACACTACTATTTTGAACACATCTACTATCTTCTCTTTAAATCATCTTGGGAGCCTCTTGCTGGTATCGGTGTAGGTGGGGTCAGGTTAGAGAGGTGTCCTGCCTATGAAATTTTAATTTAGCTCTCTTCTGAGTTAGGGATAGAAGGCACAGCTCCAGAGACGACCTCACCTGGGCTCTGGGAGACACAGAGGCAAGACAGCATGGAGGGAGACAGAGGACATAGGAAAGGGAAGGAAGAAGAGAATGGGGAAGAGAGGAGGGAGTAGGAGGAAGAGGAGCAGGTGAGGGCCTGAGAGAGAAGGGGAGAGGAGAGAGGGAAAGAGAGGACTAACACAAAGCCCAGGGAGGGGCACCTAGGGACTTGTGCTGAATAATTGGGCTCTGGACAGTTCCAGCTTTATCAGAACAAAATCTCTCAAGTAGACTAAGTCTCTCTGCAGACAAATGGCAAATGATCAACAGGCTAAATAAGTTCCTTCTGAGTGCAGGAATCTAGGAGCTGGAGGTTGGATTGATTTCCCTCCTGGAGGCAATTTTGTACAGGCCGCTTAAATCATTGCTTACTGAAGCTGTTTATTTAATTATTTAGCAATGTGACTGCCGGCCAGATGTTATATAAGCCAGGCCGACAAGCCGATTGCGCTGGAACAACATGTTTATGGTTAGGGCTGCCAGGCAGTATTTCTTCCATCCCCGCTCCCCCAGTAGGGGTGGCCAGGCACCCACCTGCAGTGAATCTCCAGACACCAAGGTGCAGAGCCCTCAAGGGAGAGAGGCTGTTTCCCCAGAAGACTAGACAGTGGGCACAAAGCTCCTGCTCCCTCCAGGCTGTGTTCAGGAGTGGGGCTCCAGATGTTTTAGTGACAGTAATAATTTGGGGCTTTGGGGTAACTAGATTCTCAAAAAGTCCATCTGCAGAGTTTCTTCTTAGTCCTCAGGCCACACAAATGATTTGCTGCATCTGGAAGTGTCACCATGCCATCCAGCACAGACACCTTTCCCTGTGCATGGTGGGAATGCATAATGGCCCCAGGTCACTGCTGTTCATAATCTCACAGGAGGGACTTTGCAGGCCAGGGGACACATTTCCACTGCTCTGTGGCCCCAGTTTATTTTAGCATTCATTACTGTGAATGATAATGCTTGTATTTCAGGAAGATGCAGCTTAACTCCAGCTGGCTTTCCACTGAGCTTAGGAGCTGCAAGAAAAGCCTCCACTCAGACACATCCAGTTCAGGGAGCAGTGCACTTGCAATTGATTTAGGTTCAAAGTCAGCACCTTTGGCCAACCTGGAACAGGCTCTACCATCACAAATCCTCTACACCCCAGTGAATATGGGGTGCAGAGACCTGGGTACACTGAGTTCTCAGTGATTCACAGATAGCCAGTTGCTCCAGGTACGGTGGATGAGAGCTGTTGCCGAAGCTGGCTCTGCTACTTAAGTCCATTTTCCCCTAAACAAGAACCATGGGTTTTACATCTGTTAAGAGGACAAGACTATGCATCAGTAGAGAGAGACCCGGAGCCCAAGCAGCAGTGTCTTCTCCACATTGGGAATTGGGACACAGACAATGCCTTCTGGGGTCCATGTGGGGACCTCCCTCTGAAAGCCACCCTGCTTCTTGTCTCTCGGCGTTTTGCTGCAAGGCTCTCACTGGTCCTCTTACCTGTGATCAGCTGCGTGAGCACTTTCATTTGGTCATTGAGGATATTCACCGTGACATTCCGGGCAGATTTGAAGTAGAGAGCATTGCCCTGCAGCGAGAGCAGAGAGATACCCATCAGCAGGCCAGTAGCTGGTTCCAGGACCAAACTGGGGACCCCACCTCCAAGGCTAGTCTGGTCTAGCTACCTTCTGATAGATACATCTTTTTGTAGAAACCCTGTGCTTTAATGGCCTCATAAATGTGATAAGTCATTGGCATTTATCCAAAATGGATTCCCCCTCTAAGGCATACAGATTAAGAGACAGATTCTAAACAGATTTCCCTAACACAAATTATAATCATAGATATACACACACCACGTTCACACATAAACATACAAATACCATGTTCTCTCTCACATGCAAAATCCATGTTCACACATACCACATTCCACACACACATATGTTATAACTGGTCAGAGACTAGTGGGGCACAGAGCCCCACTTTAGATCTTATTGCAGACAGTACTTAGCTGTGGTATACAGACTCATCAGGAATGACTGATTATTTTCTAACTATCTCTTTCTAGTTTACCAAAGTCTCCTTCTCCAGGAAGCCTCTCAGTGTCCCCTGTGGAGAGTAGGAAGCTTGTATGAAAAACCAGAACTCTGTGTCCTCCCACAGTCACGACACTGAGTCTTGCTGCTCCTTAGGGAGACCAGACTCTTCTCTATGCAGAGACATTCGTGACAGGTTCATCCCAAATCCAGGAGACCTGGTGTCACTGCGGTGGTCTCTGCCTTCCTTCCTGACTACACTACACTACACCTACCTCACATTCAGTGCCCAGTCACACCCCAGCTAAGCCTACTCTGCACAGGGGCTGCTACTAAAGAGGATCTGACTGAAATACTTTAGATTTTTTGGGACATCTGGTCTCTGCGGTTACTACTTAAATCTGTTTGGTACAAAACAGCCATAAAGACTACATAAACAGGGCCCTTCCTGGTGGCACAGTATGTTAAAGCATAGCACTGTGACAATATAGCAACCACTGTAGCAGCAGAGTTTGATCCACGGCCCCGGAAGTGACCACTCCTGGCCCGCCTGCTGCTCCCCTCAGCAGTGTATTTCTGTCAATCTGCCTGTTCTGCTCCCCGCTCTGTCTCTGGTAAACCCAGAGACAACCCCCCACCCCCCGCCTCTGGCCTGTACTCCAGTTCTGTATGTATAAATAAATAAATCTTAAAAACAACAAAAAAAAAGACTACATAGACAAATGGGAATAGCTGTGTCCCAGCAAAACTTTATTCACGGATAATGGCATTTGAATTTATATAATACAATTTAAAATTTAATACAATCTTCCTGGGTATGAAATATTATGCTTTCTTGTTTTCCCCTGTTCATTTCAAACTGTGAAGACCGATTTCAGTTCGCTCGCCTTGTAGAACAGGTTGGACTTGGCCCACTGGGTCTGCCAATCTGGATGGAGACATAAACTGGAGACACAAACTTTATAAAAGATGACTCTCTGACAGAGCAAGTCAGTCAGCAGCCAGCTGTTATGGAGAAATGAATGTGGATGGTCATTTTCTACTCTACACACCTTCACTGCCACACGGCACAGTCTGAAGGGCAGTAACAACACTGGGCATGGGCCTCACACACAGAAAGCAATGCTAGTGATGTCATTTTTGGGGTTAGTGTGGGGTCCTTGGGTTCACTCTGGGAAAGGTTTCACCAGCGCTCCCCTTTCAGTGGCCTGCAGCGAGTTCCCAGGCAAGTTTCTCCACAAGACAGAAACCCAGTTATATTTAAAGAGCAGGTTTATTGGGGAAAAGGACAGAGGAGTATTGGGCACTTGCCAGGCACAAGCCGACAGGAGGAGCTGCCGGAAAGGGACTGGTTTGCTGAGAGAAGCCTGCATGGTCGCAGGTGGGAGGCTTTAGGAGAACGGCCTCTACTCAGGGAGGTCAGTACAGAGAAGCCCCTGCAGGTACAGGTCAGGGGCAGGCAGAAAGCTGCTTCCCTGCGGATGAAGAGAGTGGGTGGAAAGAAGCACCTGCATAGTCACAGATGGACAGAAGACTGCTGCCCTGTGCTGGTGCAAATTCTGCCCTGATACAGACTTCTTCCCTTTGGGATACTTATGAGCCTGCGTTGCTATTTTTGAAAGGCACAGGAGATCCCACAAGGGGCTCAACCTCCATGTCTTTATCTTTCACCTTTTGGGTCTGTGATAGACGCAGCCTTCAGCAGTCTGCTACCTGCTTGGATCTTACGCTTTGTAATCCAGGCCTTGGTGCCTAAGGATCTCGGTTTCTATCGCTGGGTCAGTGGCTGTGCTAATCCCTTCTACCCCCAACTCCTTGTGTTAGTCAGTCTTGAGATGCTTCCTTACTATTACTCATCATTGGACTGTGAGCAGCCCGAGGACAGCCAGCCTCCTCCTCCCTCCGCACAGGCAGAGATGCCAGTGGAACAGTATGAAGCCACGCCAGGCCTGTAGCAGGAGGTGAGTGCAGCAAACATGAATGAGTGTGGAAACCTTCCTGAAGATGATGTCAGTCACACCTTGAACTGGAGCCCAATCCTAATGCTGGAGCTAGGCCTTGCAAAGGATGGATTTTACCAAAATGAATGGATAAAGGCAATCATGGAGGTAGGAAACTTGTGGGTTGGGTTCCTCTGCCTTTTCCCTTCAAAACTAGGAGGCCATGAATGAGTCCCCCGGGAATGGCATGCTCTGGGATAGCCAGTGGTGCTGACTGGCAGCCAGACCAAGGCCTGGGGGTGGAGTGGGGAGCAGAACAGGCCAACTGACGAAGTACACTGCTGAGGGGAGCACCGAGCGGGTCATGGCCACACCATGTGGATCACCTCCGGGGCTGATCCACATGGGATCAAACTCATGCTGAAGTGGCTGTGCTGTGCTTTAACCCGCTGCATCACCATGGAGGACCCTCATATTAATTATTATGAAATTACTGGAATCCACATATTATTAAAATGATTAAATTCTGTATGTAATTAGCCCACAAGATCCAGTGCCAGGCACACAATTAGTTCACCATAATTGTAATGGCAGAGAGGAGGGAGGGTGAGGAGGATTGAAGCAGGAGGAGGCAGAAGAGGAAAGGGAGGAGGAAGAGAGGGAGAGAAATGAGGAACCTGAATTACTTAATCCTCATCTCTGCAGATTCAGGGTCTTCTTCCAATTCCAGCATTCATTTCCATGTTTCAAAGGGTCTTCCCTGGATGTGACCAACTCCCCATTATCTTTCAAACACATGACCCAAGGCTCCCAACCTGCCCGTTAATCTTATTCAAATAATTCCATTGTGTAAAAAAAAAATCTCTCAGCTTTGCTCAAGGTTTCCAGCAAGCACAAGAATAAAGGCAGCCTTTCGTCTTATTGTCATGTCAAAATATTATCATTTAGCATTAATTGTTCTAATATCCTGGGAAACATTCTCTTCTAGTCAGGGCTTAAACAAAGAGCCTCCTTTCAGCCAGGGACACATGGCTGTGATTCTCCCATACATCTGAGAACAGAAAAATCACCAGGAAACAGGCACAGACCAGCTAATAAACACAAAGAGCCCCTTCCCACTCCGGGCAGCTGGGACTGTGTCATTTGTGTTTTGCTCTCTGGCTCTGTTAACTGGGACCAACCAAGAAAAATGTGGCCTAACCCAGTGTCCCTGGGGGCTTTGAAGGATTAAAACCAATAAAAGAAGCACTCCCTTATATCAGAAAAGTTAAATTCTGCTCTCAGGCATCTTTTATTTTATTTTATTTTATTTTTCTGTTTCCCACTTACTTCCATAGCCTCCTGACCTGGGGAGGTAATTTCTGCCTCAAGAGATCCTGGGGAGGGATTTTCACGAAGTGACCTGCAGCAGGGGCCTGCTTGGAGACTCACTCTGACTGGCAGACTCTGGGCTACCCTCTTTACCTACATGGTAGAAGCTCTGTGGATGGGAATGCAAGTTGGTGAAGTCCCATGGAGAACAATGAGCATTAAATAAATAAATAAATAAATACGTAAAAATAGATCTGTATGATCCAATTATCCCACCTTGGGGTATTTACTGGAAGAACAGGGAAACACTAGTCTGAAAAGTATATATGACCCACATGTTCACTGCAGTCTTAGTCTCAATAGCTAAGAAATAAAAGCCATACAAGTGCCTGACTACAGGTGAATGGACAAAGAAGATGTGATCTATATACACAGGCTCACAGTCCTGGACTGGTTCAAGTCTGTGCAGCCAGTCTGATGCTTGGACTAGGGGTGAGGCTTTGGGAGATACAGAGGAGGACACTGCTTCTCTCACATGGGAAAGGAGTCCACAGAAGCTCTCCACATTTAATGACAACACACCGATTTTTTTTTTTTTTTATAGAGGAAACATTACTTTCATCACTGTGCAAGTTTCAGGCATACATGCTCTCACCTCAGGAACTGTCTGTCTCACCCCCACTCACCGTGAATGTCCAGTCACCACTCACCACTCACTCATCTGCCCCCCTGCCTGTTCCCTTCCCCTCCTGTCCCTCAGGTGAGCATCATTCTGTTGTGAGAATCAAAGGGTTTGCATGTTCATTGAGTTTTTTATCTCTATATTCCATAAACGAGTGGAACCATATGGTATTTATCTTTCTATATCTGACTTATTTCACCTAACATCATCTTCTCCAGTTCCATTCATTCTGTTGTTAAGGGTGAGTGTCCATCTTTTGTATAGGTGAGTAGTATTCCACTGTGCATACAGATCACATCTTCTTTATTCACTCACCTGTAGTCAGGCACTTGCGTTGCTTTTATTTCCTGGTTATTGAGACCAAGACTGTAATGAACACATGGGTCATATATACTTTTTAAACTAGTGTTCTCCTATTCTTTCAGTAAGTACCCCAAAATGGGATGACTGGATTGTACAGGTCTATTTTTACTTTTTTTTGATGCACATTGTTCTTCACAGGACTTCACCAACTTATGTTCCTACCCACAGAGATCATGCCACATAGGTAAAAAGTGTCCATTACCTCCATTTGTCTAAGGCAGACCCTACAGAACAGAATGGATCCTTGATGATTCAA